TCCATCTGTTCCTGTGGGTCCCTTGTCCTAATTAGCTTTGTCAGTTGTACACAGCGTTAAGTCATTTGAGGAACTTCCCAGATCAAATGGTCCTGTGGGTGTATCTATGTTGAAATGTCTTGACGATTAGTCGATGTTGGAGGTCCTATCCCACTGTGGGCAGCACCACTCTCTGTACAGGTGGCCCTGGGCTATCTAGAAAGCTAGCTAAGGGTAGGCCTGTGGGAGAGTGAGCCACGAAGCAGGGTTCCTCTGGCCTTTCTACTTCAAGTTCCTGCTCGAGTTCTTGCCCTAACTTCCCACGATAATGACTGTGACCTATAAGCTGAAAGAAGCCCTGTCCTCTCCTAACTTGCCTGTGGTCAGTGTTGAATCACAGCAACAGAGGGGGAACGAGAACATCCTTTGTGCCCCATGTTTGTCCAGAGCACTGGGTCCTAGGCCAGTGTCCCCAAGCCAGCTGCTCCCTCTGTTTCTACTGCACCCTTCTCCTCTGCCCAGAGCTCCGGGACCCCAGAACCCTGTCCAGTACCCTGAGCCCATTTGCCTCTGGTTCTCCTGTGAATGTGTAAGGACAGAAGTGATTTCATGTTGACACCGGACTGACATCATCTCTGGCCATCACACACCTTTATTCTTTGTCTTCCTCAGACAAGGGCGGTCCTAGGAATCCATCTACTCTCCCTCCAAACTACTCGGCCAGTCTTCAGCTGCTTGGTTGCCCATGTAGCTCTCAGGCAGGCGCCTCGCATGCTCTGGCTCAGGACAGGAAGCCACCCACCACTAGCCTTTTGTAAGGCTCACCACCTCTCTGCTGATTTTCTTACAACACCGCCCACAGGATTTCACATGCCTCCAGTTGTCCTCGAACTCACTACGGAGCTGAGGGTGACTTTGAACTTCTGGTCCTCTAGCCTTCACCTCCCAAGTGCTAGGATTACAGTTATAGGTCACCATACCCTGCCCAAATTGCCTTTTGTTTCCTCCTTTGCCATGTGCTTTTCATTCTTCATGGGGACATGTATGAAGTAGTGACTTTCCTATCACAGAACCCAGGTCCAAAGAAGTAGGGGCTTTGTTCCGCCTCTGTGTAATGCCACAGTTCCCAAGGGAATCTTCAGGGAAGGGCAACCCAGACCTCACAGGACGAGCGGCCTGCTGATCTTCATCACTTCCTGGGTTGGGCTAGCACTTGCCTAGCGGAGGGTGGAGATTGAGGGTGGCTCTGGTGTAGAGTTCTAGTAGCTACTGGGGTAGGACTTTCTGGGGAGGCCTTTGTATAAGGTCGCACCACAAGACTTGGCGAGGGTACCTGCCCAAAGCTCCAGTGAATACCAGGAGCTAGAGGAGACCTCCTTAGGGCTGTGAAGTAACCATGGTAACCATGACGAGCTCTTCCACCTCCAGGCGCTCTTATTCTTGCCCTGCCTGGACTGGTGGTACAGTCCCAGGGGGCCGGCAGCTACAGTGACCAGGGGTCTCCTCATTTGCTGACTGCCAGATCGAGGGGAGGGACCAACTGTGCTAGGCACTGAAAGCACTGAGATACAACATTCAAATCTGTCTTTCCGAGGGCAGGCCCCACAGGACCTGGGCCAGCTGGTTGTTTATCAGAGACAGGGCCCTAAGAGGAAGGGCTAAGAGGTGAGAAGATAAAGATGGTAGGAAAAAGCTGGGGTTAGGAGGTCTTGTACAAGCTGATGATTTAGTACAGCATTAGCCAGGCGGTGGTGGCACATACCTTTAATCCCAGCACTCAGGGAGGCAGAGGCAGGTGGATCTCTGAGTTTGAGGCCAGCCTGGTTCACAGAGTGAATTCCAGGACAGCCAAGGTTACACAGTGAAATCCTGTCTTCAGAAACCAAAAAAAGAAAAAAGAAAAAGGAAAAGCAAATAGAAGTACAGAGTCTTATAAGTTTTTTTGTTTTTTGTTTTGGTTTTGGTTTTGGGTTTTTTTATTTTGTTTTGTTTTGTTTTTTGAGACAGGGTTTCTCTGTAGCTTTGGAGCCTGTCCTGGAACTAGCTCTTGTAGACCAGGCTGGCCTTGAACTCACAGAGAACCGCCCGCCTCTGCCTCCTGAGTGCTGGGATTAAAGACATGCATCACCACCGCCCAGGTTTAAGGGGAGAAGTGCCAGCAAAAACTACGACATATATATATATATATATATATATATATATATATATATATATATAATGAAAAGCTAATCAAGCAATTAGCTTGATTAGTCATATATATATGACTAAGTCATGAAAAGCTAATCAAGCAATTTTGCACAAGGGGAATATGGACTATCTCAAGGACAGCAGAGACTGAACACACAGATGGCCTTGGGGATAATAACCTTAGCCCCTTAGGATGGGACGAAGCCACAGTTCCCTCAAGGCCCTGGCCTGTGCTATGCACAGTCTAGGTTTCAGACAAGAAGCTTTGCTCCTTCTCCAAACATCAGGGCCTCAGGGAAAGCCTTAGACTGGTCTAGCCCCTGACGCCCAAGATCTGTTCCAGTTACACAAAAGGAAACTAAGGCAGAAAGAACTAAACAGGCTTGGCTCTTTTGGGTTTCTATGACGCTGGTCTCACTAAAGCCCACAGACCTCCCAGGCAGGGCTTCCCCTGTGCTGATACCCACACAGAGGCTGGCAGGAGCTCAGTGCCAGGCTCTGTTCACCCGGAGCTTGGCCTTCACCTGTCTACCTTCCAAGCTCACATCACTGTCATTGTCTGGAGTCCTCTGTGGGGCAGAGGGGGCCCAGGTGGAGATGGCTGCTCTCAACAGCTCTCAGTTCTGAGGGCTCAGCACCCGGAACAAAGCTACCCCGGCCACCACCCACTTCCTGTGGCCAAGGTCAGGGCAGGGCAGTGTGGTCTGTGGGTTGGTCCTCTAACCAAGTTGAACACTCTCTCTCTCTCTCTCTCTCTCTCTCTCTCTCTCTCTGTGTGTGTGTGTGTGTGTATGTGTGTGTGTGTGTGTGTGTGTGTGTGTGTGTGTGTGTGTGTGTGAAGCATATGTGCATGCGTGTGAGTGTTCGCATAGGTATAATGAGACACTCAGCCCTGTATCCTGCTGCTGCTTGGAACTTCAGTTTCCCCATTTGAAGAATTAAGTTTGAATACTGACTGTCATGACTGTTTGCAGGGGGATACCTGTGGGGGCCTCTCCCCAAAGCATCATGTCTGTACCCTAGAAGGTCTCTTCCCCACTCTCCACCCATGGCAGCCATGGCCTCAGAAAGGGGACTTTGCTGAGGCTGACTGGATTGCAGTGTCTGCATGCAGATCTTAGGGATGTGTGCCAGGTCCCAGGTTAGCCAAGGGAGCTGGTGGGCCATGTGTGTCACCCCTAGCAGTGTCCAAGGAACTCTGGGGACGAGGATGCAGAAGCAGGATCAAATATAGCTGCCTCAGCTTGAGCTGGGTGCCCCGGGACTGGAAGATGCGGAAACATTCAGAGCTGGGATGGGTCCCGTGTAGCTTGAAGTCCACTCCCAGCCTTGCTATAGTCTGCTAAACTCAGAAAGCCAGGGAGGAAGTCTTACTTTTCCTTATATGGGGCAGAGTGGGCTTTCATTTAACATCTCTGGAGGCAATCTTTCTGGGGTCACAGGTCACTTTTTAGAAGGGTCAGAAATGGGGATACACAGGTCCCCCAAATGGGGTGGCCCTAGAGGGTGTTATTACTATCACAGACTTCAGCATGGATGCTGGTCTTCAGGGAACAAAGGTGATGTCAAGGACCGTGAGCTGGGGCACCCAGTACTCTGAGGCCATACAAGGCACTAAGCTAGCCTCAAAGCACTGACCTGACAACACTGTCCCCATCCTCACTCGGGCTCCTCAGAGGCTCAGCCTTTCCCTGCAGAGGAGCTGGTCATGGCTTGGGAAGGCATGTTGATTTTTGTTTCTGACAACACGGGCCCTGGTCATGTCTCTTCCTGTCTGCCTGCCACAGATCCCCGTGTCTTCGGAACTCACACACAGGGGCCACCCAACCCAGAACATCACAGGTCCCACGGGCTGAGTCCTGACCTCTCTGGATCCTTCCAGGGAACAGAGGGCAACAGTAAGGATCTAGGAGAATGACAATCCTGCCAATGCTCAGCTATAAGGAAGGAAGTCACATCCCAGGCTGCTCAGCATGCCCAGTCCCCTGATGGACTCCCTATTAGTTCAAGGCCATCAGGATCATTGCTTATAAGCAGGATAGGGTGCTGTGGTCCAGAAACACGGCAGCAGGTGGCCAGCAGTTGGGTAGTCCAGGCTGTGTATGAGCTCAGTGAAGCCTATTCTCCACTGCCAGGCACTGGTATTCCAATAGGGTCCCCAGTTCTAGCTCCACCAGGGCAAGACTAGAATCAAAGCTCCAAGAAGTATCTGAGACAACCAGAGACAGGCAGTCTCTGTGAGTCATCTCAACCCTGCTCCACAAGTAAGTACTCCAAGTTAATGGTTCTGACTGGGCCCAGTTCTGCTGTCTGGGTCAACCAGGTCTGTGGGCTAAGCTCACTGTGGCCTTGGAATACACTGGTGTTACAGGACTGCCCTGGGCAGTGTAAGCCACTGCACTTGTATGGCAGAGATGGGGCTGTATGTGGCATGCCTCTCTCTCTCCTTCATCTCCTCCCTCCCTCCTCTGTATGAGTGTGTGTACTTGCCCACCTCCTTCCCTCATCTGTGTGTGTGTGTGTGTGTGTGCGCGCGCACATGCGCACACACACACACACACACACACACACACACACACACACACACACATGCATGCATGCTCATGGTATCCCCACAGAGGCTGGCTGCCTGCTAGTTTAGGTACCTGGCCACCTGAGCCAGTATTCAGGCCTCCACATCCCTCCCTGTGGTAACTGAGTGGACTCATCCCCATGGGCCTTGAGAGCTATCTGTGCTGGCCCTGCCTGGTTCTCACACCCTGTGGCAGCAGGACAAGAGGCCAGCAAGAAAGAAGTCCTCAGGGGATCAGCCTGAAGTCACCTAGTCCTTCTCTCCACAGGACATGCTGGGCCCACACTTACTGCTGCTGGCCTTAGCTGGACTCCTCTCCCTGGGATCTGGTGAGTTCTGTGGAGTTGTCCCTACATATGACATTCCCATACGGCAGGCCCACCTCATGTGCCCCTGAGCATAAGTTCCCAGGTGGCTGAGGAAGGGCCGTCCTCTGGGAGTAAGTCTCAGGATGACTTTGGTTCCCTATAACAGGAGATGGAGTCCCCGCGCTAGTCAGAATTGCTACTCCAGAGCGCTACTCTGAATCCCATTGGGGTGACTCAGAGCCCTTCCCAGGCCACATAAAGCTGTGGACACTAGCCTGCACCCTCCCCAGAGCCTTGTCTAGCTTTGCCTCTACCCCCACTTTTGAGGACAACCAGAATGGGCTCAGGGCCCTCATCCAGCCTGTCTGTCTCCCCAGTCACATCCCAGGAGTGTACCAAGTACAAAGTCAGCAACTGTCGGGACTGTGTCCAGTCGGCGCCTGGCTGCGCGTGGTGCCAGAAGCTGGTAAGAGCGGTGTGGGTCTTCTGACAGAGTCTAAGCTGCCCTTGTCACTACCTCTACTTCTCTTAAGCTGGAGACACTAGGGCGATCTCCTTAGGACATAGCAGGGGTGACTCAGTAGAGAAGGCTCTAGAAGGGAGATGAATGTACTGTGGTCACCCAAGCTGACCCAGGTACATAGGGGAGGACAGTCCAGCTTCACAATATGAACAAAGAACAGAAGGAGGTGAAGGCCCACAGTCAGGCATGGTGGGAACGTTTCGCCCTTGAATGGCAGTCCCTCAGTTCAGCTGCCCCCCCATAGAGGGCTCTCCCAGGGGACATACCCTCCTCCCAGGCTCCCCAAGCTGCTGACCCCATAGGGCAACCCACAGGTTATTCTTTCTCCTCGGTCGCCTGATCCTTTCTAGTGGAAGCTACAGACAGGCAGCCCCTGTCCCTTCTTTTTCACAGGTCTTTGAGAATAAGGTATTTACTTTTAAAAGCCACTGAGTGTGTTTTTATAAAAACATGCGACTGTAGTCATTCTTCTGTTGCTGCCGTAAAAACACCCGACAAAAGCAACTGAAGGAAGGAAGGGCTTGCTTTGGCTCACGGCTAGAGAGGACAGCCTGTCATGGTGAGGAAGTCGAGGCAGTGGGGGTGTGGGGGGGGCAGCCGGTCACATCCCGTCCACAGTCAGGAAGCCAAGTGATGAATGCCCACGCTCAACTCCCTTCCTCCTCTCTCTTCAGCCCAGGACCCAAACCCATGGGTCAGTGCCACCCACACTGGGCAGGTCGTCCCACTTCAAAGAGCACAGTCACCACACCCCTTCACAGTGTGCCTGGAGCCTTGCCTGTTGGGAGATTCCAAAGCCTGTCAAACTGGGGACCCACACAAACCGTCACAGGCCCATGTTCATGTTTGATCCTGTTACCAAATTCAGGAGACCCCTATCAACCTACTGGGCAGGCCGTATGCCAATCTTGCCAAATGTTCATCTTTTTCCTGGCTGCTGTAACCTGTGGACACGCAGGATGTCATTTTACTCGCCTTATATCCAGAACAGTCCCAGCTTTCTCCATCTTCACATGCCTGTCCTATTTAGAATGAGTGGAACCACCAGTGTAGAATGTTCCTTGGTGTCCCCTCCCCCAGCCCAGCATGTCCTCTGCTGTACACTGGGGGCACCAGACAGTGACTCATCCTTTGAGGCCTACGTGAGGCACACGTGGTGCCCTCATCAGTGGGTCCTACGTCCCTGCACAAGTGACGCTTGTTAAGAAGCCAGACTTCTCCTCACTTCCTGTGTCCCCTCCCAGTGAGCGACAGGCTCATCCGTGAGGTGCTCTCAGGTTGCTAGGATTCACTAAATCTGAGACCTTGCAGGCTGTCCACTGGCGACCCAGGCCAGCTCTGTTACCACTGTAGTGACTGTAAATGGTTCTCTGTCTCTCTCTCTCCCCTTTCCCCCGCTTCCCCCTTTCTCTCCCCAGCCCCCACTGATGGACCTGCAGCTCTTTATTCTGCCCATATCACTATTCTTATCACTATTATTTTTCCAATCTGAAGTTCAAGCTGTCCACGTCAGGCCCCCCGGGCCCCTCTAAGCTCTTCTCAGTGTCATTCATTTGACTTTTTTTGTGATTGTTGTTGTTTTGATCATTTTTGTCTTGTTCTGAGAACTTTTATACTTGGGACTGATAAGCTCTGTTAACTCTACTCTGACCTCCCCTACCCTGGCCCATGAGTTAGAGTTACAGAAGGCTCCTAGGCCTTAGTGAGAAGTGGGCTCCCAGCATTCTCTGTGACTTTCCTCACCCTCTCCTTCCCAGAAGGCTTTTGACTTCTGTCTCTAGCAACCATGTCCGCCAGAGGCAGCTCCAGAGCAGAGGCCTGGTGTTGCAGCCTCTATCCCGTGACGGAGGGAGGCGGTGCAAGCCTGGACAAGCCATTCTCGCAGGGGCTGGCTTTTCTGTCCTTCTCTTGAGCCGTTTTATTAGTCTGAAATGAACAGTCGGGCCGCTTTTTCTACGAGGATTACACGTTTGCTTCACTTCTCCCTATTCTTGCTGATCGTCTGTGCTTCTTGAGGACTTGAGACGCAGCTCTGAAAGACAGCATGGAGCAGAGGCAAAGGGGAGTCTTCCGCGTTTCTGAGTTGTTCTTCTGGCTTTACCCTCTGTGGGCAAACAGGCCGTCCCAGTGTTTGTTGGTGCTTTGCAGTTGAGCCAGACCCACTTTGGATGCAACAGGCTTCAGCACAGGACCAAGAACAACCAAATACTTCCTTGTCAAATTCAGGAGACTTTTGAAGGGACACGGTGGTCAAGATGAAGGAGCCCCAGGCTCTCCACTCCCCTCACCAACTCGCTTCCCTATGAACTGCGAGAAACTTGACCCCAAGCTCTGCCATGAGTCTCAGCAAGGGCCGTCACGTTGGCTAAAAGAGCACCTGTGTTCTCTTGGGAGGCAGCAGCTCCCTGGGCAAAGGCCCTGCTGAAGAACGGCTAGAGGGCTCTGGCCAGCCCTTGAGCTTGAGGCTACCGATCAGCATTTTGGCTGAAAGTAGAGAACCCCAAGTCTTTGCTGATAGAGTAAGTGTCCGAAAGATAGAGAAAAGTCGATAGTCTATGCTTCTGGTGACCTGGAACTCTCCGGAAGACTTGGAGCTGTCCGGGTGACCTAGGTTGTCTGGGAGTCTGGTTTTCCTTAGATGACTGCCCCGTCCCACAAGGATCTCTAACTGAAGTTTCGAGGGCAGGTTAGGAGGAAAGGGGGCCGGACCCCATGGTTCCAGCACTATGCCTTCTGCCTGACCCCTCCTCTAGAACTTCACTGGGCCAGGGGAGCCCGACTCCTTGCGCTGTGACACACGGGAACAACTGCAGCAGAAGGGTTGTCCAGCCGATGACATCATGGAACCCAGGAGCCTTGCTGTGCCTCAGTACGACCCACCAGGGGAGCGGAAGCAGCTCTTTCCACAAAAAGTGACGCTTTACTTGCGACCAGGTAGGTTTGGACTCAGCTGGGATGGGCCGGGTGTACAAGGAAGGCATCCAGGAGGGCAGCCTGCGTGACCTGTCAGGGCTGACGGATGGGTAATGTCTCTGGGCTGGACAGTGAACTGGGCTGGTTGATGAGCCTCTTGTGACAGAAGTCTGAGCTCTAGAGCTACTGAAAGGGTTCCACGCATGAAAGTGCTTGCCACCAAGCCTGGTGACCTGAGTTCAGTTCTCCAGGACCCAAAGGGTGAAAAGAGAAAACCAACTCCTGGAAGTAGTTATCTGACTTCCATGTGCAGAACATGGTGCGTACAAGCCACCCTCCCATAAATAAGCAAAACTGTAATTTTTAAAAAAGTTACTTCAGCTGGGCTGTGGTGGTGCATGCCTTTAATCCCAGCACTCAGGAGGCCGAGGCAGTGGATCTCTGTGAACTTGAGACCAGCCTGATCTACAGAGCGGAGTTCCAGGACAGCCAAGGTTACACTAAGAAACCCTTTCGCACACACACACACACACACAAAGTTACTTCAAAGTCTGAGCTCTGCCCTGGGTGGATTCACTCAACCCCACTGTCTGCCCTGGGTGTCTCTCTTAGCAGTGTGCTCTGTGCCTCATTGAAAAGGGGAAGCAAACCGCTCAGAAATCAGCATGCATTTCCACTCTCAAAGGCTCAGGCACTCGGCACAGTGAGCACACTGATTAAGTCTTATAGACCTGCTTAAACCAGGCTTGCCCCAGGCATGCTTGACCGGGTCGGAGGCCGTGAAGTGAGCACAGGAGGGACAAGAGACACGCTGCGGGCAGACTCGATGTCACAAGGGGGATCAGCAGATTGCCCTGAGAGCCGCTGGGTGGGGACCCCAGAGGCTCGTCCTGGTTTCTTTTCTGTTGCTGTGATAAAACACCTTGACTAAAGGCAACTTAGTGGGAAAGAGGGTTGTTTTCAGCTCACAGTTTCAGCTCATGGCTTATGTTTCAGGGAAGACTTAGGCAGCAGGAACTTGAAGCTCACATAACATCCACAGCCAAGAACAGAGAGAAATGACAGCTTGCTTAGCGCTAGGCTCACTTCCTCTATTTTTAACAAGACCAGGGTGCCCAACCGGGGAATTTTACCGCCCACCCAGGCTGGGTCTTCTCACATCAATGAAGTCAGTCCACCATAATTGCCCAAGATACACCCACGGGCCAACCTGATCTCCACAGTCCTTCAGTGGGATTCTTCCCACGTGGTTTTACTCTGTGCCCAGGCTAAGCAGTGCCCAGATCTAGTTGGTGTCTGATGGGCAAGTTGACAGGACAAGGTAGCGAGGAAGTAGAGCATGAAAGGAGGCAGAGAGGTGGCTTTGGGTGGTCAGCCTGGCGACATCAGAGAACAGAGCTTGTCCCATGAGCTCTTGTGAGTTGACACAAGGCCTTCTGCTCTGGGACCTCTGCCCCTGCCCCTGTCCTTCTGACCCCTGAAGGGCCATTCTGGCGTTCTCACCTTCCTGAGCATAAAAGTTCTAGCTGGCACAGGTGCAGCCCCTCCTAGTGGGAAGAGAGGGTGGCTCTCTGGACCTTCTTTGTAAAAATGTTAATCCTTTGGTTGGTTGGGTTCCACCCTGCTGGTCTGAATGGCAGCACCACAGACTGGATGGTTAGGCTTCCAACTCATGAATTTGCACGGCACACTCTCCACATGCAGGCATTCTTGTACTTAGAGAGAGCCCACTTATCTGAACCCAAATCTGCCCGTCCTGTGTCCTGGCCCCAGGCCCTGCCAGGTCATAGTAAAGGGGAGGCAATAGGAATCTAGGGACTAGGTGAGGGCTGACAGACCACAGCCAGGCTCAAAAGTGTCCCTTGCTCTCTTCTGACAGGGCAGGCAGCTGCATTCAACGTGACTTTCCGGCGGGCCAAGGGTTACCCCATTGATCTGTACTACCTCATGGATCTCTCCTACTCCATGCTAGATGACCTCAACAATGTCAAGAAGCTGGGCGGCGACCTGTTGCGGGCGCTCAATGAGATCACTGAGTCAGGTCGCATTGGTGAGGCCCCGCAGTGCATACGTGCTTCTCAACCTTGGGAACACCCTGCGGCTGCACAGAAGCTGGGGAGCTGCATATGCATCGCTTATGTTGCCAGAGTCAGCCCTGCATCTCTACCACAGCCACATCTGGTCACAGGCTGCTAAGACCTGTGGACTCCTCCAACCTTTCTCTCTTTCTTCTTTATATTTTGATGTTTAAAAGACAACAGTACCGCAGTGCTGATTTCTGAAAAGTGTGTCTGACTTACAGTAACCACACCATCAATAGAGTAGTGGAAGCAAACTTCAGGGCCAGTCTCAGGGCAAGGGTCAAAGGGTGAAGGTTGCAGCACTGGCCAGCACCAGCAAGCTCACCAAAAACGTGGGACAAGGGAACAGCACTTTGGCCTCATTGTCTATGTGTGAGGATGCCCACACGCACACTGGAACGCAGGATGCAAGCAAGCTATAGTCTTGTGTGCTCACACACTCACACATGTCCAGGATCCCATACACAAACATATTTGCATGTCTGTGTACATGCCTAGTCACACATGTGTGCCTGTAGGCCTGCATACACAAGACCACATGTATATATCTACATGTACTCACATGCAAACACTCATGATCACACATGTACATGACTGCCACATACCTGTACATGTTTGTACATGACTTCGCAGGTTCTCATCTACACATGACTACACACATGCTTGCACCCTTACCCCACTGGGAATTTCACTGATCTGCCTGGAGCCCTGCTTGCTGCCTCGTCCCCGTAACTCCAGCCTCATGCTGTATATTCTTCAGGCTTCAGGTCCTCCCTGTCCTGCCTAAGGGTCTGCCTTCGGTCTCTGTCCCCTGTTCCCCCGCCTCATGCCATGTACCCCTCAGGCTTTGGGTCTTTCGTGGACAAGACTGTGCTGCCCTTTGTCAACACACATCCGGAGAAGCTGAAGAACCCGTGTCCCAACAAGGAGAAGGCCTGCCAGCCCCCGTTTGCCTTTCGGCATGTGCTCAAGCTAACCGACAACTCCAACCAGTTTCAGACAGAGGTCGGCAAGCAATTGATTTCTGGAAACCTGGACGCCCCTGAAGGTGGACTGGATGCCATAATGCAAGTTGCTGCGTGCCCGGTGAGACCACTATCCCTGGTCAGCTCTCCCAATTTCCTCAAACGCAGGAGCTCCACCAGCATTGTGGGGCCACTTGCTCTGGTTGGTGGGCCTCTTCAGGGACTTCACCCCATCTGGCCCCATGTTGTCACCCCGGGTCTTGGAAGGGCAGCCTCCATGCCCCAGGTCCTTCCCAGCCAGATCAGAGAGCAAAGGCAGAGTGGCAACATAGCCCTAAAAAACACATTTCAGCCTTAACTGATAACCCTTAAGCTCTCCTGAGAGCCAGGGTGCCCAGCAGCGGGTCTTCAGAGTGAGGACTGTCCTTAGCTCCGTGTCTCCTCATCTACACCCCGGCCTGTCAGTTCCAGACTGTGCTTATAATGTCATCATTGCAGAAAGCCAATCCCGCCCCAGCTTGGCTCTCAGTACTCAGCCTTGTTGGGCTCATGCTGTGGGCACACACATTCTACATGTGTGTTGGACCATGGGACAAAGCACAGGCAGGTGCTGCATGTGTGTGCTCCTTCCCTTGTTCCAGGCACTCAGCTCCCCTATGGACATCCCTTGGTCCCCTCTTTAGTGGTTGGGAGGTGTTTGCCTTTTAGTGGACGCTGCTGTGTATCTTTCTCCTTCACAATTGTCACTGGGGTCCAGTTCCAGGTCTGAAGAATGTTTATCTCTTTAGATTCAGATGTGTTTCAACTCTCACCTCACAGTCCTACAGGGCATGCTGGGAGCTATTGGCTTAGGCACTTCCTGGGCACTGGGTGGGCGCTCTCTCTCTGGGTGGGGGTCTGTGTCTGGCTCTGTCTCTCTGTCTCTCTCCTCTCTCTCTCTCTCTCTCTCTCTCTCTCTCTCTCTCTGTCTGTCTGTCTCTCTGTCTCTGGAGTGCCTAGCAGGGAAACCAAGGCAGGTAACCTCTGGCTGCCTTCTTCCCCAGGAGGAAATTGGTTGGCGCAACGTCACGAGGCTCCTGGTGTTTGCCACAGATGATGGCTTCCACTTTGCTGGTGATGGGAAGCTTGGCGCCATCCTGACGCCCAATGACGGCCGCTGCCACCTGGAAGATAACTTGTACAAGAGGAGCAATGAGTTCGTGAGTACTCTGCCTGCCTTGGCCCATCCCAGCGTCATTCAGGAATGGCAAGAGAACAAGGTGAAAACAGGGTCGTGGGCTGGAGAGATGGCTCAGTGGTTAAGAGCATTGACTGCTCTTCCAAAGGTCCTGAGTTCAATTCCCAGCAATTAGATGGTGGCTCACAACCATCTGTAGTGAGGCCTGGTGCCCTCTTCAGGCATGCAGGCATACAGACAGACAGATACTGCATACATAATAAATAAATAAAAAAAGAAAAGAAAAAGAAAAAGAAAACAGGGTCACATGCCTAGGTGATGCCAGCAGAACCCAAACTCTTCCTAACACAAATAACAAATCATAGAGGAGTTCCCAGAGACCCTGGTGACCTAATGAGATTCCTGGTGCTCACATCGGCCTGGAAAGCAGTCCTGGTCCTGGTCCTCACGGTAGAAACCCTGACACAGCACCCCACCCCATCCATCTCACCGCCTCTATGCATGCCTGCTCTGCCCGTAATGACCCTGTCAGGGCTCCAGGTCCCATCTCTGAACACTCATTCCTTTTCTAAGGTATCATGAAGAATTTTTGCACCCCTGTACTGCAGGGACCACCTGAAACACACTGATGTGGAGTTGCTGGCAGATAGAATCTGGGGGTACTGACCCCCAGGCAGGAGCAGGGGTATCTTATGTCCGTTTGCCATGCCCCTAAAGTTGAATGTCATGCCCATTTGCTGTACATCATGGTGGTGAGGAGTGGGGTCTAAAATCTAGCCCTAGTGGAAACCCAGGTACTTCCCTGGTGCCTACACAGCAGCTCCTCAGGACGCTGCCTGCATTCCAGCTGCCCTTAGCACCCAGAGAGGTAACTCCTAGGAGCGTTGCTTACCTGACACTGACCAAGAGAACTATCACAATTGTCAGGCTTCTCTTCTTGTATTTATTTCAAAGTAGTTGGTTTCCTGTCAATCCTGTCACACCAAGTAAGGCCTGCCTTGAGCAAGTGGCAAATGCCCTGTCAGCCTGGACGCTTGCTCTCCCAAGGTGTCCCGGAAGATTTGTCTGACAAGATGTCCCCTTTCTCCAGGACTACCCATCGGTGGGCCAGCTGGCACACAAGCTTTCCGAGAGCAACATCCAGCCTATCTTCGCAGTAACCAAGAAGATGGTGAAAACCTATGAGGTAAGCAGAGCCTTGTGCAATGTGGGCAACAGGCCCCCTCAGCTGTGAGTGACAAGCCAGGCCCTGCCCAATATTGCCTCAGTTCTGCTTTCCGTGTTGGCCTGTGGGTGGTCAGCCTGGCCACTGACCACAGCTTTCTGGGTGTGAACATCCTGGTGGAGGAAGTTGAGGCCGCCACTGGGCTACACAGTGTCCATGTCTTTCTGCAGCGCTGCTTGCTCTTTTTGTCTCTTCTGAAACAAATCAGCCTGGAACTGCTTCTCTCTCCTTCCCCTCCTCCCCTCTTTCTTCAGCTCAAAGAGAAGCCCCCTTTGAATAATCAACATTCAGATGGAGCCAAACTCACAAGTTGGGACCCCTCCTTCCTCCACGTGTTGATTAGCAACAAGCCTCCCCAAAGCACCTCAACAAGCAGAAGCCAAAACCAAAGCAAACAGGATCTTGGGTTTGCCATTGGCTTTGAAACAGTTGGTCCGTCCTCCTGGGGAGGACGCAGCCATCCTTGCTCCTTGTAGAGGCAGGCCTGATGACACCAGGCTTTGCATCCTGAGAGCTCTCTCTGGTGGCCTCTGGAGGAAGGCAAAGTCCCACTCTTGTTGTCAGGACACCCTTCAGTTTGTACAGCGGGAATGTCACTTCCATCCCTTCATCTCTTAAGACAGTAGTAGTTGGAACCAGTGGTGTTAGAGCCAGAAGCGGCTGTTTCTGACGGTCGGGGTGGCTCCCTGTAGCCCCTCAAATGCTCCTTGAGGCTCATCCTGTGTTTCTGCTGCTGCTGCTATCATGCCGTGTGTGTCCTGCTTTGGAAAGGCAGCTGAGGAGCTGAGGTAAAATCCTCCAAGGATGCGTTCACACAGGCAAGATTCTCAGGTGTTGTCAGGCTCCTAAGCCTCCTCCCTGGCTTACGATTTGCTGGACAGGCCAGCAGAATTAAGCAAAGTCACTAGACTCCCAGTGAGTTTGCCACAGTGTCGAGGTAAAGTCGGTAGAGATAAGAAAGAAAAGGTGAAATCTAGGAGCAAGATGGGGCTCAAGCTTCCGTGGCCCCTCCCCTTTCAGGGTTAATCTCTCAGTTGACCAGGACCCTCAGCCCCTCCTGAGAATGACTGGATCCTTTGTGGGTTGTCCTCTCCTCACAGAGCTGTAGCAGGTCCTGACTCTTTTAAGGAGTGGCATGGGTCGCGTTGCAGAAGACACCGTGGTGATGGGGGAGAAATCTGCAGACAGGGGACTTGAGTCCCAAGCCTACCACCGGCTAGGCTTTGATGGTTGAATTAGACGGGGCTCTCTGGAGGAACCGAACTGACAGAATATTGTACAAGGTGACCCGTTAGAATGCCTTGCAACCCCTAAAAGCTGAATTGTGCCGCCATAGCTGACTGCCCTCTCAAAAGCCTGAGAGATTGGTAGTTGCCCAGTTAATGAAACTGGATGCCCAGCCTGGTACGGAAGGACTGAAGAATTCCTGGAAAGTCGCTGCTCTTTGGTCCACAATGAAAGATGCCTTGTGATGTTGGTGAAGGACGGCAACAGTGCAACGGGGTAGATGCGCTCGCAAGAAGCAAAGGCAGACACAGAGCTGGCAGAGGGTGCTGCCCACTCTGCAGGAGAGTCTTCCTCTTTCGATTAACCCTTCCCGGAGGCTTATCCAAAGGAATATCTTAGTTGACTCCAGGCTCAAGCCAGTTGACAATCAAGAATAGGCACAGCAGGGGTCACGGGCCCTCCCAACCTTCTGCCCCTTAGGTGATGGTCAAGAATATAGGGATGGTGAGGGTGGTCCACACTGGACCCTCCTCCTGTCCAAGCCTGGTCCCTGTGCCGGCGCAAATGAAGCGGGTTGCAGAGCCCAGAGACGGTTGATGACTCGGTTATGGTGGACTCTTGGAAGGGACAGACTTCATTCCAGAGACTCAAGGAAGGCTGCTGAGCCTGCGTGGCTTGGTCATCAGCTCTGCGGAGGCGTGTAGGAGGCGAATGACCAGGTGCTGCTCATGAAATATAGCACGGCCATGAACACTAGGGGAGATGTGAAGAAAATGCAGGATGTCCATCGTTTGAAGGCTCCGTCTGACCAGCCTCCTCTGGGCAGCTGACTTGTGCTGCTGCAGCTGCTTGACACCGGGTTATGTGGCAGTCACTATTAAATGAGAGCTCTGAAACCCATTGAACTGGTCAGGGCTTACCGCTTCCTGTGATCTCACCACATTGTACTGTTATCTGCATGCTGATGTGGTAGGAATACTGTCCTGTGGTGAGGCAGGCATGTGCTCCCAGCTCGGAGATGCTATCAGATTGAAGTGTCCACTGGAGACATTCGCACCCAGGAGTGTAACCTCCACTCAGGACTTTGGAGCTGGTCTTTCTCCCTCCTCCCTCTTTCCTTCCTTGTCTCCCTTCCTCTCTCTCTCTCTCTCTCTCTCTCTCTCTCTCTCTCTCTCTCCCTTTCTTTTGGAGGGAAGGTATCTCTACACAATCCTGGCTATCTTGGAACTCGCTTTGTAGATCAGGCTGACCTTGAACTCACAGAATTCTGCCCGCCTCTGCCTCCCAAGCGCTGGGATTAAAGGCGTGCACCACCATCTGGCTTTCGCCCCTTTCTAGGTCTGAATTTGAGATTAAACCTGTGCTAGGAATGCTGTGCTGCTGGTCCACAGCCTCAGCCCTCTCCTCACTTTCTCTTCTGAGACAGTCTGACTGAGTAACCCCGGCAGGCTCTGAGCTTGTCATCCCCCTGCCTCAGCCTCCCAAGTATCTGGAATGAGAGTCCTGGCACACCAGACCAGCCAAGGGCTTGCTGCTCCTCAGCTGGGATGAGAGGCTGTGACACAGGCTGCCGCACACAGCAGGCCTGGCTCCTCAGGGCTTGCGCCCAGAATCTGTTATTGGCATTCAGCAGCACACCATTGACTTATGGAGGAATGTCATGTGAGCCAAGCTCATGAGCAAGGGAGGCCGTGGGCATCCATTACAAGCCTCATGGCTGTGGAGGGGCCTGTTGCACCGTGTGCCAGCTTGATCTTCTTTCTCATCAACAGAAGCTCACAGAGATCATCCCCAAGTCGGCGGTGGGGGAATTGTCCGATGATTCCAGCAACGTGGTGCAGCTCATCAAGAACGCCTATTATGTGAGTCTCCGGCAGAGCCGGGCAGTCTGACAAGGCCGCCGTGGGTCAGCGGATGAGTGGCAGGGGAGGTCACCTTATCATGTTGGGGTTCCTCCTGGGTTCCTCATAGCGTCTGGATGGGAATGGCAGGGAGAAAAAAAGGAGCACAAAGAGAGATGTGCCAGCCTCTACCCATGACTTTGGGTCCTTTTGGGGCATGGCTGACCTTACTAGATTCTGCCTGCTAGTTCCTGAAACACCAATGGCAGGCCCTTCTTACTGAGGCTCTTCCCTGCTAGCTGACATGGAATAGTGGGGAATGGATGGATGGCTGGTGAAGGCAGAATGATGCCTCTCACAGTGGGGGAGACCCCAGAAATCATCACTGTGGCCTCGGGCCTTGAGCTAGAGCGCCTCTTTTTTTTTTTTTAAGATTTTTAAAAATATTTATTTACAATATTCTGTCTGCCTATATGCCTGCAGTCCAGAAGAGGGTATCAGACCTCATGACAGATGGTTGTGAGCCACCATGTGGTTGCTGGGAATTAAACTCAGGACCTTTGGAAGAGCAGGCAATGCTCTTAACCGCTGAGCCATCTCTCCAGCCCCGGCAGTTTGTTTAAGTGCACTCAGATTTGCTTCCTTCAGAGGCCCAGGGTCCCGGTGAACACCAGTGTGCACCAAACACACCATCCAGACCCCAACCAGTCGCAGAAATCTACTCCCAGTGGCAGGTGTCCCCGAAGTTCTGACCTGCATCCCGGTTGCTGAATGTCTCAAAGGCTAACAGCACCTACTGTGTGGGAGGCCCTTCAATACCACTGTGGGGGGCTGGAGAGCAAGCCTGGGGCCAGGCTGGGAAACCCTGTTTCCTTCTCCAGCCTTGTGAGCCTCAGAAGCCCCAAGCAGACTCCCGTGCCTAACCACTGCCCAGTCATGTCTAGCTCTGTCTTTACAGGGATGGCTTGGGTGACGCCATCATTGCCCACCCACCAAATGCCACCTGTTCTCCTTCTTCTATCTGTGTCTCGTCTCTCACATCCCCTCAGCAATCTATCGTTCCTCCTCTGCTAACCCGGGGGTTCGACAGTGAAGGGATAGTCCTCACAGGGCTCATGGCTGGTAGCCTGTCTCAGAGCAAACCCGTGGCCTCAGTCTGCTGTCCCATCCTGACACAATCACTGAGCTCCCAGTAGGTGTTTGTGTCATCAGCTGGTGTGCAGAAGTATGAGAAGGGAGATGGCCAGGGGGGCAGGGATGAATGGACACGTGACCTCTGAGCATGACTGCTCTCTGCCCACAGAAACTCTCCTCCAGGGTCTTCCTAGACCACAGCACCCTCCCCGACACCCTGAAAGTTACCTACGACTCGTTCTGCAGTAACGGAGCATCAAGCATAGGCAAGCCCCGAGGGGACTGTGACGGTGTGCAGATCAACAACCCGGTGAGCCCGGCCTGCAGGGGCACCTGGGGTTCCCGCATCAGCATGCTGGAGGGGTCTGGGGAGATCTTGGTGACCCACTCCCAGTGAGAGCTGGGAGGCAAAGGAAGATCACAGGGATAAGCAAGGGAAGAGACCACTGATGGATGACTAGCAGCCTGCCTCTTTTCCCTTTATACACCGGCGAGGAGGCTAGATGTGATATCAGGGAAAGGGTATAGGGAGGGTGCGGGGACGTGGTCTCAGCTGCAGGTTCCTGCCTTCAGCTGCAGGTTCGCGCCTATCAATGTAATGAATGCCTGCAAATCTCTAGAGTGGCCCTGGGTAGACTGGCGGGCATGGAACGACAGCGCCCTCTGGGGGCAACTTCTGGATATGCACAACTGGACAAGTATCTGGTTGGGATACCTGAGAGGCTCAGTCAGGGACAAGAGCAGAGCCATTACCCTGGTCACCCACAGTCCTGAACTGAACTCCACCACTCTCTTATAGGTCACCTTCCAGGTAAAGGTCACAGCTTCAGAGTGCATCCAGGAGCAGTCCTTTACCATCCGGGCACTGGGCTTCACGGATACAGTGACCGTGAAGGTCCTTCCCCAGTGTGAATGCCAGTGCCGGGACCAGAGTCGGCAGCAGGGTCTCTGTAGAGGCAAAGGTTCCATGGAGTGTGGCATCTGCAGGTGAGAAGTGTGCACGTGGCTCATGGTCCATCGGTCCTCAGGGAAAATGTCTGCAGATGAAGTGGAGTTGGCCAGCCCATAACATATAGAGCGTCGCCGCGCATGGGTCACCCCACAGCATGCTAGTCCATGAAGCAGGTGTCTGTAGGTGGTATGGACAGCTCACCCAGGAAGTAGATGGCCTGCAAGTACTCCCACATGCTAGCTCTCTGACTCAGAGCAATCAGGCTAACGGCATGTAGCTAGAGTATCACTGGACCAGGCGGCTGCTCCTGGCAGCCTGGGCCCTAAAGTCATCCTGGGAACACGAGCCTCAGTTCAGGATGCAATTGAGGAGGAAGGGCACAGTGTGCCTAGTGGAGAGGCTGTAGTTGGTGGCCTGGGTGCCAGTCATCCTCTCCCAACTGCTTCCCCAGTTTCTGATCTTTGGGGTGCTCTATCCCACACCCCAGGCCCACACTGCTATACACCACCTCCCAGATACTCTATGATAGTGGTGGTTCTGGTGGTCACCCCCTGACCAAGTGGCACCTTGCTCTGGTCCTGAGTGTGCCACCCTAGGTGACCTCTCTGCAAAGCTGAGCTAACTTGACTGGAGGATTGGGTGATTGGTGAGTGAATTCTGCGGCTTCCTCCTGCAGGAGGACACAGTGGGATGGGTCAGGGTCGGCTAACGAAGCTCTTGCCTCACTGAGCTGTGTACAGAGTCCCCATGTTCTTCTTTACCTACTTCAGTGGTGAGGCACTGCTACCATGTCCCCACCAGACCCCGTTTCCAGGTCTAGGTTAGCAGGGACAGAAACTGGTTCCTTAGGACAGTCCGTGGAGACAACGCTCAGGAAGCTCCCAGATGCACCTGCCAGAGGTGCTGTTAGTGTTAGTTAGTGTGCCCGCTGCTGTGAAGAGACACCATGTCCACGTCAGCTCCTACAAAGGAAAACATTGAATTGGGTGGCTTACAGTTCAGAGATTCAGTCCATTATCATTGTGGCAGGACACGATGGCACGCTGGAGTAGGAGCTGAGACTTCTACATCTTGACCCATGGGCAACAGGAAGGGGTATGTCTCACTGGGTGTGGCTTGAGCATATATATATATATGAGCCATCCAAGCCCCCCTCCACAGTGACACACTTCCTCCATCAAGACCACACCTGCTCCAATAAGGCCACACCTCCTAATAGTGCCACTCCCTTTGGGGGGGGCATTTTCTTTCAAACCACCCCAGGGTATCATGCTTATAGGACAGTCACCTATATCCCCACAGGGACTTCCTTGCCTGGGACATGGCACATGCTCAGGAGACCTTTGGAAGCAGGCGTGGTGTGCCATACATTACAGGTGTTTGGATGAGTTCTGGATCAGGTAGGGCAGGAGGTGTCTTCATGCCGAGGGAGGACCTAAACACACACACCCCTCCCCTATTGCACCAGGTGTGAATCCGGCTACATTGGGAAAAACTGTGAGTGCCAGACACGGGGCCGAAGCAGCCAGGAACTGGAAGGAAGCTGCCGGAAGGACAACAGCTCCATCGTGTGTTCAGGGCTGGGGGACTGCATCTGTGGGCAGTGTGTGTGCCACACCAGTGACGTCCCCAACAAAGTGATCTTCGGGCAGTACTGCGAGTGTGACAACGTCAACTGTGAACGATACGATGGCCAGGTCTGCGGAGGCCCACGTGAGTGTCAGGGGCTACAGGTAGCCGTTTGTACCGCTTGCACCAGGAGACATTAAGTGGGGCACTGGGGACGGACAGGTGGGCAGACGAGCAAGCCTTCCCTGCCTGTTTCTGTGTCTGCAAGGGTCAGCATTGTCCTGGGAAGGCCATGGAGGTGACAGTCCCCTTCTGACCCAAGAGCTTTTCAGGCACAACGCGGCGGTCCCGTCTGGCTCAATGATGGCCGTGTTGCTAGAGGTGCAGGACAAGAAGGCATCCCTGGCCTCTGAGTTTTTGCCCCAATGTCCTTCCATGGTTCTCTGGAGCCATGTGAGGAGGGTTAACTAGAAGTAATTAACGGTCCTCCTAGCAAGGCGGTATCAGGCTAGGGAGCAGGATGGCTCCCTGTTCCTAGTCACCCGCAGGCAACAAGTCCCGGTGACCTCGGTTGTTTTCCAGTGAGGGGCTCCTGCTCCTGTGGCCAGTGCAGTTGCAAGGAGGGCTTCGAGGGCTCTGCCTGCCAGTGCCGCAGGTCCACGGAGGGCTGTCTGAATACTCGGCTGGTGGAGTGTCATGGCCGTGGCCGGTGTCGTTGCAACAGATGCGAGTGTGTTGGGAATTACCAACCACCGCTGTGTGAGGATTGTCCTGGCTGCCCCTCGCCCTGTGGCGAGCCCAAGTACATGTGAGTGTCTCCATGGCCCATATTGGTCTCACCGTTGGACAACCCGGGAGTCCCCCAGGGACACAACTGTACCATAGTTCTCAGCAGGATTCACCAAGCCCGGTGTCCCTGCCACCACCTACCTCCTTGCATGCCTACAGGAGTCTTAGCTTCACAGGGGGTCTAGGCCCCTTCAGTCTTTGAACCAGGTTTCCCTAACCCTACACCTAACCCTAACCCTTCCAGACTCTCTTAGAAACACATTATCCCCCATCACTCCCATTGCACTGAGACCTGAGAGCTCCCCACACCCCCCACCTGAGACTGCCTGGTATGCAGACAGCCAGACTCCTTTCACGCCACGTATCAGTCACACCTGCATTTCCTAAATCATTCCGGCCACCTCGTATAGCGCTACAGCATGGTCCAGCCGTGCATCCTCACATACCAGTGACATCCTCACACACACCTGGACATCCCGGCACACCCGTGTGTTTTCATTATTCACAAACCTTGATGCGCCGGCGCACCCTTCCACAGCCGTGCATCTCTGCACACCCACGCACCCCGACAGACCTGCGCATGCTTGCGGATCAACAGGCCACATCACACCTCATGCCCTAACAGCCTCTCAACACCCACTCCACCCCACTCCTCCGCAGCTCTTGTGCCGAGTGCCGGAAGTTCGATAAGGGCCCCTTTGAGAAGAACTGTAGCGTGGAGTGTGCCAATGTGACGCTGCAGCTCACCCCTTTGAAGGGAAAACTCTGCAAGGAGCGAGACTCGGAGGGTTGCTGGATGACCTACACCATGCAGCAGAAGGACGGCATAGACATTTACGACATCCATGTGGAGGACAACCGAGGTGCGGCTGAGCGGTGCCCGGGACATGACATGATCAGGTCTAGGTTGAACGCAGTGACGAGAACTCTGACCACGAGGTCTCTGCAGCGAGAGGACTATAGAGAAAATGTCTCTCTTCTGCGGGGGCAAGACAGGCCCGGCAGCAGGAGGAGAGCCACCCAAGATACCTGCGCAGGGCAACATTGTGGGACAGGCTGCCAGCCATCCCCTTTTCTTGTCCTACGGCCTCTCTTTCACTCTGCTCTCCTTCCCTGGCCCCGCGTGAGATGAATAGCGGGTGGCGTTTCCTGGCGGTAGCTCCAACCGTCTGTGAGAGGTCACCCAGGCTTTCCTCATGTTGGCCCCTGACCTGGCCTCCCCTTCTCTGTGAACAAGAGCCAGGTCAAGTGACCTTTTTGTATCATTTGGAAGCACGGGGCCTGGTCTCATTTCTGGTAGGGGTGAGGTTAAATTCCGTCCTCTACTCATGAGATGCACAGAGGGTGATCCTCCTGTGGCAGGAATAGATATAGAGCACTGGCTGCCGGAGGGAGGGGCTGACATCTTTGGTTTTGTGCTTTCTCCCTAGAATGTGTGGAAGGCCCCAATGTGGCTGCCATCGTAGGGGGCACCGTGTTACTCGTCGTGCTGATTGGTGTCCTTCTCCTGGTCATCTGGAAGGCCCTGACCCACCTGACTGACCTCAGGGAGTACAGGCGCTTTGAGAAGGAGAAGCTCAAGTCCCAGTGGAACAATGTGAGTGGTCTCGCTTGGGGGACCCACATGGCACACACAAGCTCTCTTTCCTCTTTGACCTCTCACGGGGAGCAATTGGCACATTCGCTACCCCAGCCGTGCTTGGGAGACCCACATAGAGTGTCTTTCCCATCTCTTACTCTCACAGTGGGACTGCGGCTGTTCTGGACTAATGACACATCCCTTGCCCCAGCAGCTTAGCCTGCAGGCTCCCAGTGTTGTGGTGTGCAGACTTAGCCTGAGCCTCGGGCCCTAGGAAGGCTCCCTGTCTTGGTTGGTTCCTCAGAGTGACCTCTACTGATCTGGCTGGTGGCTTCTTAGAATCTTGATACACTCCCTGTCCTGACAAGAGCATGTTTGGTTCCTCCTAGGACAACCCCCTCTTCAAGAGTGCTACCACAACTGTCATGAACCCTAAGTTTGCTGAAAGCTAGGGCACGAGCTGTCAGGATCAACCAGATGAGACCCTGAGACCATGCCTCCTCCCCTCTGCAATCGTGATGTGGCTTACAGCTCACCACAGCACTTCCAAGGATCCAAAGGCCCACTCTGTTTCTTCTCACCTTTTACGTCAAAGCTGCGAGGCTTGCCACAAACTCACCCTCTCACAGGCACAATCTTGTCACCACAGAGCCTTAAGGATGTCCCAAGGTTCTGCACACATTTCCTTATATAAAGGAAGACCACAGTCTCAGTAAAGGTGCCACAGACTTATTTATATTTAACCTTGTCAGGGTATGAAACCACATCCCATTTTTTTAATATTGTTAACACATCAACCGTTGTATTATATATGGGTGTGAAACTATATCCCACATATTATATTGTAACTGTATGTGTAAAAATAATAAAGCTTCCATCCATGCTGTCCACAGATATGGGCTTTGTGGGGTCCTCTGGGCTCAAGTGGCTGAGCCCCAGTATGTTTTGTCCCACCTGCCGTTGGTTCATTCACATCCTGAGGGTTCTGGTGGGTTCTGGGCCTTGGAATGGGAGATTTGGTTCTTTTCTTCCTTACCTGTATATATGGAGCCCTCCCAGACCCAGTGCTAAATCTTGGATGGCTATGCAGCAGGTGTCAGATGACAGAAATGGCATCCTCCCCTTTCCTCCTCCCAACTTCTGTCTGTCAGGTTCAGTACAGGAGATAGGGTGGTGGCCAGAACACAACCAGGGTTGGGTAGGAAGTTTCTTTGTGAGCTGTTTTTGGGGGTGACCTGGAAATCACTGCTGACTCATGTTCTAAATGAGTGAATGATCCTACGTTATGTTCAGTGATCATGGAGTTCCTGGGTCTCTGACAGTGATGAGCCAACATACTGGTAGTTTTTCTGGAAATATTTGTTTTGCCTCATGGTCTAAGGTGGTTCCCTTGCTTAGCCCCACCTGCTCAGAAGAGCATCCTGTTATGGGAGTATGCTATCCAAACTGCTTACCTCATGGCAGACTGGTGTGGGAAGTCCTTCTGCATATGTGTTTCTTTTATTGGTTAGTGAATATGTTTTATTACCATTGATTAATAAAGAAGCTGCTTTCGGCCAATGGCTTAACAGAATATAGCCAGGCTGGAAGAGATAGATCTAGAGAAAGAAGATCTAGAGAAAGAAGTCACAAAAAGCCATGTAGCTCCTCCGGAGACAGATGTTGAATGAAACTTTAACCGGTAAACCACAGCCTTGTGGCAATACACAGATTAATGGAGATGGATTAGTTTAGGATATAAGAGTTAGCCAGAAATATGCCTAAGCTACTGGCCAAACAGTATTGTAATTAATTTAGATTTCTGTGTGATTATTTCATGGTCTGGGTAGCCGGGAACAAATAAACGACCTCTCCCAACAGCAGACAGAAGGCAGAGGTAGACAGAACGTGGCCAGTGACAAGCTATCCCAAGGACCAACCCCCAACCTTCCAGCTAAAACTCTACCCCATAGAGTTCCCAGGACCTTCCAAATTAGTGTCATTCACTAAGCACCAAGGCTCCAATACAGGAGCTTTTGTAGAAGGACACTTCATATCCAGAGATATCACACAATCATGTAAATGGTTGCCCAGCTTTTGTGCCCAAGCCTTTGAGTAGATGTGGCCGGAGAAACCCCCAAGGGCTCTCACCTTTAGACAGAGGTACTCACCTCTGGCACCAATATAGCATAGTGGCAGTAGGCCGAGCCATGGGGAGGATGCTATAAGCAAGGGGACAGTGAAACCTCTGGACTGGACCACTCTGTGGGTAGAAAGGTTTATTGGGGACCAAATGGCCAATGAGTATCAGAGTCTTCCCCGTGTGAGACATATTTTCTTGTATTTTTGATTATGCACCTAACCTTTTACAGCTGATCCATCTCTCCAACCCAGCAAAATGTACTTTCACATGTTATTTTGTTTTTATCTTTTCTTAAGAATGTAATTGTTTGGGCTGGAGAAATGACTCAGAGGTTAAGAGCATTGGTTGCTCTTCCAGAGGTTCTGAGTTCAATTCCCAGCAACCACAGGGTGGCTCACAACCATCTATAATGAAATCTGGTGCCCTGTTTTGGCATGCAGGTGTACATGCAGGCAGAATACTATACATAATAAATAAATCTTTTTTAAAAAAATATAATTGTTCAAAGCCCAGAAATAGCTGTTATTGGCTAAACAACCTAGTCAGTCTAAAAAGCAAATGCTGCCTTTCAGGCAGAGTGGATGACACAGTGGATCTCCTCTGACCCCAAGGAGGTCAGAACTCAACCTGCAGGGGAAGCCTGCATTGTCCTTTATTAGAGCCAGCGCCAAGCACAGTTGCTGGGTCCTCTGTTCTAGCGCCACCTGCTGGCGGTGCTTGCTGTTGTCCTACTGTCCTGGGGAACCGTTCGCTGCCGTGGCCAGAGGAAGTCTCTTGCCAGTTCCATGGGAGCTGCCCTGGCAACAGCAGTCAGCCTGGACATTTGTTCCAAGAGGACTGGAAATTTTCCTGGACAATGACCACTCCTTCGTAGAGAGTTCTACCTCAGCCAAGGCACCGATCCTCCTCTTTGGGGCTTATTGCCTTGCTTCCTACCATGTTGTGAGTGTGGGTAGATGGCCAGTCTTTGCCTTCTCTATTCTACCTGGCAGTTCCCAGCATCTGGCCACCTTTGAGCATTACTTCTTGCCTAAGACTCATTCTATTATATCTATGTAGCACGGATTCTAATTGGTCTTAATAAATAAAACTCGGGGTCAGATATTAGGGGGTAAAAGCTGGTAGAGTAGCGAAGCAAAGGAGCCTCTATCAATGCTCAGACCAAAGGGGGATCCTGTCTCTATGAATCCTCAGACTGCTGCTGTCTCTACAAAACCTCATGCTGCATCTGTCTCTATTAATCCTCAGATTGCATCTAAGCTCCTGTCTCCTCCCGCCTGCCCAGCCATATCACCCCTCTCTCCACCTCCCTAGTGCTGGGATTAAAGGCATGTGGTCCCAAGTGCTGGGATCACCTTTATGTGAGCTCTATTTCTCTTTTATGCAGATTCAATTTCAAGGCCTAGGGTGGCCTTGAACTCACAGAGACCTGTCTGCCTCTGACTCCCAAGTACTGGGATTAAAGGTGTGTGCCACCACTGCCTGGTGACTTAACTCTGCACTCTGATCTTCAGGCAAGCTTTATTTGTGAGATCACAAACAAATTATCACTACACTATGGTGCTGGGTGAATGTTAACGTCTCTCCCCACTTCGCCTGTTGGAATTTATTCAAAAGACAGTAGTGGTTTGGAGTAGGGTCTTTGAGAGGTAACCTCAGAGCGAAATTAGATGTGAGGAAGCTTGTGAGAGACAAGGAGCTGTCTGGCAAGTAGAGCTAATCCTCAGCAGTCACCAGATCTGCTGATGCCTTGATTCCCAGCCTTTGGCAATGGGTTTATGTCACATATAAATTGCCCAGTTTCAGGTATTTTGTTAGAGCCAAAGGAACGGACTGAGATATGCTTTACTTATGAATAAGTGTATTTGAAATCTGCCACGTGTGCTATGTGTTCTCTTTCCTGCCTTCCTGAGCATCACCCAGGGCCGCTCTGCTTTGCATTGCCCTGTTTATTAAATCTGGATTTATTAATTTGGTCTGATTTGGCCTATTGCATTGGTAGCAGAGGAGCCCAGTAACTGGGGACCTAATACCTAACGGATAGGAAGTTAGTTTTTCAATTCTTTAGTTTGGGGGGGAAAAAAAGATTAAAAAAATGAAACAAAGTAAAAAAAAAAAAGAAAGAAAGTTAATTTTCTGAATTCTAAGGCCTGAGAGGCCCAGATGGCACGAAGCAGGTCCCAAACCAGTGGAGCAAACAACCTCACACAGTCCCATTAGGGCCACCCCGCATTCCAGAGTAACACATTCTTCATCCTTGCTTAATCCAACCATGGAAAATGGGCTTTGTCCCCAGGCACGGCCCCTCCCTTGCCCCAGCGCTCTGCTGATCTCTATCTCCCACAGACGGACAGACAGACAGACAGACACACACACACACACAGAGACACAGACACACAGACAGACGCACGCACACACGCACATGCACATGCGCACTTTGCCATCTCCCCTCCAGGAGTTCAAAGTCCCAACCCCTCGAGCAAGCACCCCTGATGGAGCACCTGCTGACAGATGTACTGTGACCCAGGAGGAAGCTCCCACACTTTTCACGCTGTCAGGATGTAATTCTGTGGCTAATTGAGGCACGTCCTCACACTGGTGAGAAACCAGTCACACAGATACTACCAAATAAAACTGAAAATCCCCAGCAGGTGACTCAGGTATCAGAAATTCTGATGTGGCTGTGGAATTCCCATAACCGCTGAACTGCTCCCGGTTTTCTGTCTCCCCAGCCATGCTCTCGGCCACCCAAAAGTGCTGCATTTAATAAAACATGGGCATTTTAATTTGGTTGAATTTGACCTGATTGGATTTCTTTGCGCCGGTGGAGCGGCTCATCTTAGGATTTTTCCTAACATACCCCATGAAAACCGGGGAGCACACGCAAAACCTGGGACCATGTGTTTCTCCTCTGGGCACCCGCTTAAAATACCTTGTGAGAGTGTGGCATGCTGGGATTTGGAGTCCAGACCGACGCAACTCCTAGGCCAGGGGGCTGGGATGGATGCCAGGGACTGGGGTGAGGCTCCCAACTTAACACTACATTCCAGATTCTTTGGATATAGGGGTGACAGGAGGTTGAGGTTACAATTATGACCAACATTTTAGGCTCTCCTTGGAAAAAGGGGCATAGACTCAAGTCTGGCTACTTCCTGCAGGTATGGGATGATGTGGGAGAGGGGAGAGGGAAGAGGGAAGAGCTGAAAGTTGGCCCGCTCACACTCAGTGAAAGGTGTGGTTGGGGCGGCATCTGGTTTGCTGTGGTCCTCAGGCAGCTGCGTTTTGTGAAGGCAGGTGGCTAGAAGAAAAAGTCTTGTTATTATTGGCTCTATGAAATGGGGCTAGCCATGGGATGGGACACAGTAGCAGATTAAACCAGATTTTAGTTGGCAGGTGTCCTTGATCCAGAAGACTTTATTTTTATTCTGCACTAGATGGAACTGAGACCTGCTTGTTAAAAGGTTCCCTAGCATATCAACCAACACACTGGTGACCTTGTCCTTGAGCAAATGTGTCAGGGACAGGCTTTTTGTGAAGGCTGTGCCAGGCACTGAGTTGGCTCAGGTTTGGGACAATGACCCTGGGCTCTAATCATCTGACCCAGGGCACCTGATTCTGTTCTGGTATTTGTTTGCAGTGGCCACTGAAGCTCACTGGGGCTCTGAAACTTTGGTAGAGGTTATGGCGGTGGGAAGGGGAGGAGCCAGGACTTGAACTCCTCATGTGTAGTAGGAGGCCAGTCTTCATTCCCAGCTGCTCAGACGCAAAAT